GAGCTGAAGATTTTATTTTCCAGCAGGATTTGGCACCTGCCCACACAGCCAAAATTACCAGTACCTGGTTTAATAGCCATGGAATAACTGTACTTGATTGGCCGGCAAACTCACCTGACTTAAACCCCATTGAAAATCTCTGGTGTATTGTCAAGAGGAAGATGAGGGAACACAGACCCTGAAATGCAGACAAGCTGAAGGCCAATATCAAAGCAACTTGGGCTACCATAACACCTCAACTGTGTCAAAGGCTGATCGCCTCCATGCCACGCTGCCTGGATGCAGTAATTAATGCAAAAGGAGGCCCAAAAAAGTACTGAGGACATAGTACAGTACATTAACACAATTTTCAGAAGGCCAACATGTGTTTAAGATCCTTTTTTTATTGGTCACATGAAATATTCTAATTTTGTGAAATACTGGATTTGGGGTTTTTTTTTGTCTTTAATCCATAATCATCAAAATTGAAACAAATAAAGGCTTGAAATATTTCACTTTGTGTGTAGTGAACTAATATAAAATACAAGTTTCACTTTTTGAAACAAATTATTGAAATAAATGGACTTTCCCTCGATATTCTAATTTTTTGGCACATACCTGTATGGAGAGACACTGATCCTGACAACTGGTCAGAGGTAATGGTTCCTCAGATACCCAGGTCAGCCAGCCCTGTGCCAGGAGACCCTCCAGGGAGTACTGACAATGCTCCCATACGCCACACCAGAAGCGGCAGGGCGGTCAAACGACCTGCAAAGTACAGAGACTATGTTATGGACCCTTGACTGTTTGTCGTTGTATAGTTTGCTTAGTGCAGCTCCGGAGAGGGTTGAGGTGTGGTGTGCAAATAAGAACTAGCAAAACAAAGAGAGCTAAGAGTTTTATTTCTTAAGAGATGTCTTAGTGAACCTTAAGAAAAGTTGTTGTTAAAGCATTGGTTACTCCAGAAGTTATAGTAGGAGTTAAAGCAACTTGTAGCAGCTGATCCACATTTCATGTCTCAGTCTAGAAAAGGGGGATGTGGTGGATTTCACCTCACCCTACTTTCAAATTATAAAAATGTTTTCTGTTTACTTTTTGTGTCTTTGGGAGGATGTACACTCACAGCCATTTTATTAGGTACCCCTGTACAGTTGTATGCATGATTTAGCTCATGTAGAGAAACTGTGTCCACAGAATCAAACATTAACTGTATCTGATCATTCAACTGTTTAACCAGCAAACGAGTATTTGAAGGCCATGTTTTGTTGACCTGTGGACATGGGAACATAGCTCACCTCTCACACTAAGGTGGCATATTTATAACCTATCAAAGCGTCAAACACTGCTTGAGGTTTTCAGGCAGAGATAGTTACTCAGTAATTAACTACCATGAACCTGTAAATCAAGTTCCCTGCAGACCTCCCTCTTTCATGTTAATTCAGGACAAGACCCCAAATCCTCCCAAAATAACCATCTGAAGTTAAAGGCAGCTGCCTCCTTATACCTACCGATGTTACTCTACTGAGAATGATTTAGAAGCCACACACACATTTAAACTCAAGCAAAACATACTAAGAACATCTTATAATCATCCTTACACTGTGATTATTTTAACTTCCTACTTTGTACCTTTAGCTATTATATCTTAATCATTTTTCTCCCTTTTCCATTCCCCCTTGCTGTTTTCCTCTTCCTCCTCAGGGTCCGGCTCGTCTACAGCCACATATTCTGCATTCTCCTCCATTTCTTCCTTTTCTTCTTCCCAGAGGGCTGCTATTTGCTCTGCCATTGTTCCGGTTCTGGGCATGATCAGGAAAAATATGTTTATTATGAATTCTTCCATGTACTCCTCTTCCCGCACCACAATAGTTTCTGTCATTGGTGCATTTTCCACTGGATCAAGCAACACTTTCTCATCTTCTTCTGGCCTGTTTGTCTCCTCAGGCTCTGCGTCCTTAATTAAATAGTGGCCATTCCAATATCTCCTGAAGATAGTCTTGTTGTTCCTCTGGTTTTTATTTGCAAAGAGACAATCTGGCTTATAGCTTCCTGCGGAGTTAATTCTGCCACTGTGATGCCTCACTGACCTCTGACCCTTCATTGCCACCTCCTTTGGCTTCCTCAAGGCTCTCTCTGGGAATCGTTTTTACAGATTCACTGATAAAAGAAGATGAATAAATGGTTCAGAATTTAGTTTTTTGTAGTTGTGAAAAAAGGAAAATTGTTGCATGCTTCTGTTTTATAATAAAGCATGAAATCAAATAAATGAGAAAGCCAAAAAGCAAATTTTATTTTGCTTTCTGTTTGTAGATTTTTGTCGGGTGCATGTGCAGATAGACAACGTTCACACTGCAGGTCTTAAAGCTCGGATCGGATTTTTTGACCAAATTTGATTCTGATTTTTTTTACGCTGTTGTTCACACTGTCATTTAAATGCGACTGCCATCTGTCTCATGTGTGAACGGTACACGGCCCTGAAGTGACCTGCATGCGCAGAAGAGGACGTGACGTCAGACGCAGCATACTGCGTTTGCGGAAATAAAAATGGATTTGGCTCGTGATAGCATGTGCGTAGCGATGTACCTGACAATTTGCAATCGAAATAAAGACATAAGAGGAATATCAAGAAGAAGGAGAGGACAAATATTGCTTATGGCCTTTTGTGGAGCAGTGGCTGCTACCTTTGTACAGAGGAATGTATGGGTGCAGAGTCGAAGCCAGGACTGGTGGGATTCCGTGTGGGGCTTCACGGATACAGAATTCATTAATAATTTCCGAGTGAGGAGGGAAACGTTATCACCACCTGAATCACTATTGTCTGCCATTTTTTATTACCCCTCGCCTCCTCCAGCGCAGAATTGTGACGTCTGTCGCACTTCAATGACAAAAAAATCGCATGAAATGCGACCTGGCCGTTCAGACTGAAGTCGCATTGCAAAACATCGGATACGTATCCGATTTAGGACCACATATGAAAGTGGCCTGGGTCGGATTTGTGCTGTTCACACTGTCATAAGGAAATCGGGTATGGGTCGCATTTGGGCAAAAAGATCGGATTTGAGTCACTTCAGCCTGCAGTGTGAACGTGGTCTTTGAACCCATCTGTGCAGATTGTGACTGCAGCACCTGCTCCCACATTTAAATGGTTGACAGATGACCTGTATTATGTGTAATGTCACATGGATTACGTTATTAATAATGAGTACCCAGACCTGCATAGATACAAAATTTTATAAGCTACATCACACAATCACTTTATTGATGGGGGTGGGATTTTACCTTGTACTGTAGGCCTATACAGTAACACATGATATGATACATATAGAATGTTGTTGGAGAGTGAGTGAGTGAAGAAATGAACAGACCCAGATGGCTGACTTCAGTGCAAGCAGACTTTATTTTACACATATACACATATATATACACACACACACACACACATATATATATACATACACACACACACATATATATATATATATATACACACACACACATATATATATATATACACACACATACATATATATATATATA